TGGTGTTCCTGGCGCATCTGCTGTTGGTGCTCCTGGCGCGACTGCTGGTGATGTTCCTGGCGCATCTGCTGGTGGTGTTCCTGGCGCATCTGCTGGTGGTGCTCCTGACGCGACTGCTGGTGGTGGTGTTCCTGCTGCTGGCGGTGCATCGAGCTCAGGCTCCTTCTGTCCTGGCTCAGCCCGCTGATGTACTGGCCGCTTTGGTCTAAGCTGGAGATACTCTTCCTCTGTGCCGAGGCCGCCGTCGAGCTAGTGTGCAAGGCCTCGGTGGATGTAGTGGCGCCCTTGCGATGCAGGACCTGGTTTGAAACGTCCGCAGACGAGGCCGTGATGACACGACTCCTTTGGTGTCCTGCGGGCAAGGTGGGGCTGGCCTCTTGGAATGCCTCACCGCTTAGGGCTTGCTTGAACTCGCTGCTAACTGCGTGCGTTTTCTGTCGCTGTTCTTGTACCGTCTTCTGGTTGGATTGCATCTCCGTCTTTTGGGTGGACGCCATTTCCGCCTTCTGACTGGAGGAGGTCACACCACCCGTCGTCCTCGTCTCCTGTTGGGTCCTGGTGACGGTCACCTGTGTGCCATCTGCCAGCACCTTGGTGTCGGTCGATGTTGAACTCGTCGTTTTCGAGACAGAATCCTGCTTCGCTCTGGAGGCCCTGGTTTCCATGGCCACAGTTTCCTGTTGTCCGAGGCTGATCTGCGAATCCATGCGCCTTCGGTTCACTTGCTGTTGAGTCTTGGTTGGCGTCTCCACCTTCTGGACGAACGTTTCCTTGCTGGTGGTTTGCGTCTCCATTTTCCCCCCGCCACCAACCTTAAGGTGATCCTCTTGCCTTCGAACTTCGGCGCGCTCGCCCTTTGTCACCTTAAACTCGGACTTCAAAGTAGTTTCAGCCTGGAACGAACCTCCCACCTTGAGGTTGTCCTCTGGTTTGCGTACTACTGCGCGCTCCCCCTTTGTGGGTGTAAAATCAGTCTTTTGTCGGCTCTCGAAGGTGCCTTCCATACGGAGATTGTCCTGCCGCCGTACTACTTCCGCCCTCTCTCCTATGCTTACCGTTTCCCTCTGTCTCTGAGCAAAGTCACCTTCCATTTTGAGATTGTCTGGATGCTTGACAATCGGTGCCCGACCACCTGGGCCGATTGGTGACTTTTGAGGCCGGTCGAAATCTCCTTCCATCTTCAGGTTGTCGGGATGCTTCACAATAGGGGCGCGACCACCAGGGCCCAAAGGAGACTTTTGGGGCCTGTCGAAGTCACCCTCTAGCTTCAGATTATCCGGCCGCTTTACTATTTGCGCTCGGTCCGGTTTTCCGGGCTTTTCTTTCTGAGGCCTGTCGAAGTCGCCGTCTAGCTTCAAATTGTCCGGATGTTTAACAATCGGTGCCCGCCCGCCGGGGCCGACTGGTGACTTCTGAGGGCGGTCGAAATCGCCATCTAGCTTCAGATTGTCGGGATGTTTTACAATCGGTGCACGCCCTCCGGGGCCGACGGGTGACTTCTGAGGACGGTCGAAATCTCCCTCTAGCTTCAGATTATCAGGCCGCCTTACAATTTGTGCTCTATCTGGTTTTCCAGGCTGCTCCTTGGTTGGCCTGTCGAAGTCGCCGTCTAATTTTAGATTGTCCGGATGCTTCACAATTGGCGCGCGACCTCCCGGTCCTACAGGAGACTTTTCTGGCCTGTCGAAGTCCCCTTCAAGCTTGAGGTTATCTGGGTGTTTCACAATTGGCAGCCGTTCCCCGGGACCAACGTTTTCCTTTCCGGGTCGGTCAAAGTCACCCTCTAGTTTCAGATTGTCGGGGTGCTTGACGATGGGTGCGCGGCCTCCTGGCCCCACGGGTGACTTCTCTGGGCGATCAAAGTCACCCTCCATCTTAAGGTTGTCGGGGTGTTTGATGATATTAGCCCGCTCTCCGGTGGGTGGTCTCTCTCTGAGCGGCCGCTCGAAGTCACCCTCTGGCTTGAGGTTGTCCGGTCGCCTTACGATCGGTGCTCGCTCCCCCGTCTTCACCTCCTCCGGCTGGCGCTTCGCAAAGTCACCCTCCATTTTGAGATTGTCGGGGTGTTTGACGATCGGCGCCCTCTCTCCGGGCTTCACCGGACTGGGCTCGCGTTTGGTGAAGTCGCCCTCCTGCTTCAGGTTGTCGGGGTGTCGCACAATGGCAGCGCGCTCGCCCTTCTTTACTTCCTGTACCTCTCGCTGGACGAACTCACCCTCCATTTTTAGGTTGTCCTCGTGCCGGCGAATCTCGGAGCGCTCGCCCCTCACGGCCACGTAGTCCTCGCGCCGCTGCATGTTCCACTCGCCCTCCATCTTCAGGTTGTCCTCGTGGCGCACCTGCTCGACGCGCTCGCCCTTTGTGTGTCGGTACTCGTCGCTGGTGCGCGTGGCTGTAAACTCAGCTTGCTCGACGCGAAGGTTGTCCTCGTGCCGGACGGCCTTGGTGCGCTCACTCTTTGTCACTACCTGGTAATCATCGCGAGAATGGTGGTCCACGAAGTCACCCTCCAGCTGGAGGTTGTCGTCGTGCTTCACAATTGTCGCCCTCTCGGCCTGTTTAACGGTAACAATTTCACGCTGCGCGAAGTCTCCCTCCATCTTGAGGTTGTCTGGGTGCTTCACTATGGCGGCGCGCTCTCCCGGCTTCACGGGAGTCTTTTCTCTCTTAGTAAACTCTCCTTCCTGCTTGAGGTTGTCCGGGTGCTTAATGATTGGAGCCCTTTCTCCTGGTCGAACTGGTGACTTTTCTCGTTTCGTGAATTCACCTTCTGCAGGCTTCAGGTTGTCTCGGGGCTTCACAACTGGTGCTCTCTCTCCTGGCTTTACAGGCGTGTGCTCTCGCTTGGTGAAATCTCCCTCCATCTTCAGATTGTCAGGGTGCTTGACAATGGGTGCGCGACCTCCCGGCCCCACTGGTGACTTCTCGGGGCGATCAAAGTCACCCTCCAGCTTGAGGTTGTCTGGGTGCTTGACAATGGGTGCGCGACCTCCAGGTCCCACTGGTAACTTCTCGGGGCGATCGAAATCACCCTCCATTTTTAGATTGTCTGGGTGCTTGATGATAGGTACCCTCTCACCCTTCTTCACTTCCTCTCTTTCTCGCTGCACAAAGTCTCCCTCGGGATACAGGTTGTCTTGTGGCTTCACCACCGGCGCTCTCTCACCTGGGCGCACCGGCTGTCTTTCTCGCTGTGCGAAGTCACCTTCCATCTTAAGGTTGTCGGGGTGCTTCACGATAGGTGCTCGGCCTCCTGGCCCCACTGGCGACTTCACTGGGCGATCAAAGTCACCTTCCAGTTTGAGGTTGTCGGGGTGCTTTACGATGGGTGCGCGGCCTCCTGGCCCTACGGGTGACTTTTCTGGGCGATCAAAGTCACCCTCCAGCTTGAGATTATCGGGGTGCTTGATGATCGGCACCCTCTCGCCCTTCTTCACCTCCTCCCTCTCGCGTTGCACGAAGTCGCCCTCTGGGTGGAGGTTGTCCTGTGGTTTCACAACAGGAGCACGTTGCCCGGGTAAGACTGGATGAAGCTCTCTCTGTGCGAAGTCACCCTCCATCTTAAGGTTGTCAGGGTGTTTAACAATGGGAGCACGATCTGCTGGCCCAACTGGGGTGACTTCTCGTTGAGTAAAGTCACCTTCCATTTTAAGATTATCAGGATGCTTGACGATGGGTGCTCGTTCACCGGGCTTTACCTCTTGTGGCTTCGGCCTCTCAAAGTCTCCTTCTGGTTTCAGGTTGTCCTTCGGCTTGATGGCCTGAGGCCGCTCCCCGGGTGTGATGGACTGCACTTCCCTCTGCGTGAACTCGCCCTCCATGCGGAGGTTGTCCTCATGGCGTACTTGCGTGACGCGCTCAGCCTGCACGTAACGGTAATCGTCGCTCGACCTGGACTCGGTGAACTCGCCATCCATGCGAAGGTTGTCTTGGCGGATGGTGACCTCCACCCGCTCACCTCGCTGCCCGGTGAAATCGTCACGGCTTCGCACTGTTGTGAACTCACCCTCGGTGGTGAGATTATCCTCGTGTTTGACAATGTCAGCGCGCTGGCCGGTCTTAACAGTTACGACCTCGCGCTGGGCGAAGTCGCCCTCCATTTTGAGGTTGTCTGGGTGCTTAATAATTGGGGCCCTTTCTCCAGGTCGAACTGGTGACTTTTCTCGTTTTGTGAATTCGCCCTCCTCTGGCTTCAGGTTGTCTCGGGGCTTTACAACGGGTGCTCTCTCTCCTGGCTTAACAGGCGTGTGCTCCCGCCTAGTAAAGTCGCCCTCCATCTTAAGGTTGTCAGGGTGCTTAATAATAGGTGCCCGTTCTCCCTTCTTCACCTCCTCTCTCTCGCGCTGCACAAAGTCTCCCTCGGGGTACAAGTTGTCTTGCGGCTTCACCACCGGCGCCCTTTCTCCGGGACGCACGGGCTGTCGTTCTCTTTGTGGGAAGTCACCTTCCATCTTAAGATTGTCGGGGTGCTTGACAATAGGTGCACGTTCCCCTGGGCGAACAGGTGTTCTTTCACGTTGTGGGAAATCTCCCTCCATTTTTAGATTGTCGGGATGTTTCACCATTGGTGC